TCAAATTTAATTAATGTAATTAATTAACCAGGAGCGGCTGATGCTGTCCATCCTGCCGCGGCACGTGGCTGACGAGGTGCTCAAGGACATGCAGAAGGACCCGCGGCAGAAGGAGCGGCAGCAATTCAACACCATGTACATGTACAGGCACGAGAACGTCAGGTGGGAACAAAAATTAAATAGTTTATAAATAATTAAAAAAGAAAAAAATATGAAATAGTAAAAAAAAAATTTTAAAAAAAATTTAAAATTTAAATATTTAAAAAATATTTTAAAAATATTTCATATTTTTAAAATATTTTTTAAATATTTGAATTTTAAATGTTTTTTTTATATTTTTAATTTAACAATATTTTTTAAAAAAATATTTAAAGTTTAATTTTTTAAAATATTTAAGTAGTATTTAGATATTCAAAAATTTAAAAGATTTTAAAAATAATTTTTAAAAATCTTTAACGGTATTAAAAAAAAAAATTAAAAATAATTCAACACCATGTACATGTACAGGCACGAGAACGTCAGGTGGGAATAAAAATTAAATAATTTATCAATGATTTAAAAAGAAAAAAATATGAAATGTGAAAAAAAAATTGAATTTTATTTGAATTTTAATAATTTTAAATATTTAAAAAATAATAAAAAGAAATTTAAAAATAATTCAACACCATGTACATGTACCGGCACGAGAACGTCAGGTGGGACACGGAAATTAAAGAGTTAATCAATAATTAAAAAAGAAAAAAAAATTAAAATAATAATAAAAAAATTAAAATTTAAATATTTAAAAAATATTTTAAAATTTTTAAAATATTTTTTAAATATATAAATTTTAAATTTTTTTTTACATTTTATTTTAAAGGTATTTTTTCAATATTTAAATTTTAAATAGGTTTTTTTGTATTTGATTTTTAAAATGTTTTTTCAATATTGAAATTTAAAATATTTCTTTTACGTTTTCAAAAAAATATTTAAAAATAAAAATTAAAAAAACGTAAAAATATTTTAAAAAATTAAGTGTAAATATTTTTACAGTATTTTTTAAATATTTAAATTTTAAAATTTTTTTAATATTTTTAATTTTAAAACATTTAAAAATATTTAAAATAAATGAATAAAAAAAATTTAATTTATTTGATTTTATTTCATTTCATTTTATTTCATTTTATTTTCTTTTATTTTACGTTATTTTGTTTTATTTTATTTCGTTTTATTTCATTTTATAATTTTATTTTATTTTATTTTCATTTTATTTTATTTTATTTTATTTTATTTTTTCTTATTTTATTTTATTTTATTTCATTTCATTTTATTTTATTTTAATTTATTTTATTTTATTTTATTTTATTTTATTTCATTTTATTTTCTTTTATTTCGTTTCATTTTATTTTATTTCATTGTATTTTATTTCATTTTATTATAATTTCTTTTCTTTTTTTTCTTTTCTTTCATCTTATTTTATTTTTTTTATTTCATTTTATTTCATTTTATTTTATTTTATTTTATTTCATTTCATTCCATTTCATTTCATTTCATTTTATTTCATTTTATTTCATTTTATTTTGTTTTGTTTGATTTGATTTGATTTCGTTTTATTTTATTTCATATTATTTGATTTGATTTGATTTATATTATTTTATTTCATTTCATTTTATTTCATTGTATTTTATTTCATTTTATTATATTTTCTTTTCTTTTCTTTCATCTTATTTTATTTTATTTTATGATTTTATTTGATTTTATTTCAGTTTATTTTCTTTTATTTTATTTCATTTCATTCCATTTCATTTTATTCCATTTCATTCCATTTCATTTCATTTCATTTTATTTCACTTTATTTTGTTTTGTTTGATTTGATTTGATTTGATTTCGTTTTATTTTATTTCATATTATTTGATTTGATTTGATTTGATTTATTTTATTTTATTTCATTTTATTTCATTTTCTTTTCTTTTCTTTTCTTTTATTTCATTTTATTTCATTTTATTTTATTTATTTTATTTTACGTTATTTTGTTTTATTTTATTTCGTTTTATTTTATTTTATTGTATTTTATTTTATTTTATTTCGTTTCATTTTATAATTTTATTTTATTTCATTTTATATTTTTATTTTATTTTATTTTATTTTAATTTCATTTTATTTTATTTTATTTTATTGTATTTTATTTCATTATATTTCATTTTATTTTTTCTTATTTTATTGTATTTCATTTCGTTTTATTTTATTTTATTTTATTTTCATTTTATTATATTTAATTTAATTTTATTTTATTTTATTTTATTTTATTATATTTAAATTAATTTAATTTAATTTAATTTAATTTTATTTTATTTTATTTTATTTTATTTTATTTCATTTCATTTCATTATATTTAATTTAATTTAATTTAATTTAATTTAACTTAATTTAATTTAATATAATTTAATTTAATTTAATTTATTTCATTATATTTAATTTAATTTAATTTTATTTTATTTTGTTTTATTTATTTTATTTTATTTTATTTTCATTTTATTCTATTTATTTTAATTTCATTTCATTTCATTTCATTATATTT